ATTGTAAGCCCCTACAGTTGTATTCATATGCAGATTGTAAACCCCTACAGTTGTATTCGTATGCAGATTGTCAGCCCCTACAGTTGTATTTATATGTAGATTTTAATCGCCACAGTTAATTGTACACACTAGTAAACGAGCAATGCTTTTTCTACATAACTGAACATACCTAATAAACCGTTATTTTGAAGCAACCTCATACCTCGGCAACTGAATACTATGCAGCTTTGGTTGAAGTGCAAACTCTATCGACCGAGCTATTGCGAATTCTCATGGAGTTTCTCTACAAAAACACGCATTAGAACGGTCATTCCATGGTCACATGCGTTATGCATTATTCATAAATTAAATAAATTATTTATATGCAAATAACGAAGCGACTTTTTGTACTTTTGGCGTTTATAAATTTTAATTTTATCGTTAATAAATACAAAAATAAGGAATAAACCCTGTTTTTGTGCTTGAATTTTGTAAACGGCTATTTACAAGATTCTAACCACCGCAACTCGGTTTATCATGTGAAATATATAACTTGAAATCACTATACTTGAAATGTAAGCACTATTTACTGAAATGTTAGCCTTCGATATTATATCATTGTTCTAATTGTCACTAATTGTACTTTTCCCCACGTCTATATTCATTGCATTACAGAAGATTCACTCCAGAAACTGGAAGTTGTACTGCCGATTGTGGATTCGTCTTTGTAATCTGCGTTATATTTTGACTTTGACCGTTGTAACATCTCTGGTCACACTAAGTCTGATCACCGCAACCACGAGTACCTACAGCGTCACCTACATTAGCGACGTATTGTTAGCAGAACCCGTAAATAGCTGGCGAACATTCTCGGGCTTTCTATCCGGCGAATCGGGGTGGATTAACGGAACATTAGAGGCCCAATCTAAGCCGATCGTACCCAACATAGCGCATTTCATATGGTTTACCTGCCACGAGTTTCGATTTGACCATTTGATTCCTATTATGAGTGCATATTTTATTATGAAAGCTGATCGTATTTTGTTCCACACTGACTGCGAGCCGCATGGCCAGTGGTGGCAGGAAGCGAAGCAAATTCCAGTGTTAGAATTGCTATACCGGCAGGCCCCTGTTTATATTTTTAATCAAAAATTGAATGCATTTCTTCCGGAGCATGCTGCCGATGTTGCCAGACTTGAAATTCTCCAAGAACTAGGTGGTGTTTATTTAGATACGGACGTAGTGGTCGTCAACTCACTAGAAACTCTAAGGCATTACGAGTTTGTTATCGGACAACCGGCTTCTTACATTCTTAATAACGGTATGATGGTCGCTACAAAGAATTCGCGATTTTTGAGACTGTTCTATGAAAGTTACCAAAACTACAATGGCATTTGTTTCACTTGCAACTCCGGCATCCAACCACTGAGACTGGCAATAAAACGCACGGATCTCATTCATATAGAGCAATCTCGAATACTAGAGTGGAATCATCATCAATTATTTTTCGGTAAATACCCTTGGTGGAAGAATCGATTCACTGTGCATGTCTGGATGAGAGCATACAGAGAACGCTGGCTCTCCTATGAATTCAATGCAAGTAACATACGACAACTAGATACGGCTTATGGGGAGATTTGCCGTTTTATTTATTATGGATCGAAAGACATAATAACTAGCAATACAGTGGTGCCGAGATTGGAACTTTTACGGAAACGCAAAACACTTGAATGAATTGTGTCAACAACATTTTGAATTTTCAAGGTGAATGTTCCGGTAAAGCACTCCGCTATCACCTTGAAGTATTTCATAAGGACTATGTGTATGTGACAATGCCCTCACAGTTTAGAATCAGTTTACCAACAGCCAATCATATTGATTCTTTCATCAACGCGCTTGGCCAAGCTATCATAATCCTCGGACGGAAGTCACAAGACGCTCCATGTTGCTATGTTGCCATGTCGCGCACCACTCTATCATGTATTTCTATGGGCTCTGCGCGAGCTGCTGTGAAATGTCGGTCGAAAAGCCAGTGAAAAGAGCTAAAGTCGAGAAAAAAGCATATGTTGCATATGTATGAGTAATCTTGTTACACTGTTCAGGGGGTGTCAACAACCATCCCAAAATACAGTTTTCTGAGAATTCATTGGCATTTGTTTTCACCATGATGGTTGCCAGGCGGTGAAAATGCCCGCCCGAGAATAAATGTCGCGGCTGCACACAGTGGAAGCTGTGTTGATTCGGATGTCGAGCCAATCCAGCGACGATATCCATACATCATGTAACTCACAGATATTCAGACCAAAGCTATTCAAGCTACTTATTTCCGAGTCGCTATGTTACCATGACTTTCGCGTTCACCCCTCGTTTAGGGACGACGTCAAAAGATCGATGTCGGATAACAAACTTAATTCCTTTAGTTTTTTTTCCAAACCCCCCTACCCCCCACTGAAACTTAATTGATAAATATTGGTCATGGCGTCAGACTACATTCACCATTAAATACAAATTGATAATCGGACAGTAGTATTGCATAGCAGTTGGTTGTCGGGTGGGTATAAAAAGATTTTACAAAAGCACCTCATTTGACGCACAGATTTATACTCGAACCAAACCATTTTTCTGTTGTTTTTTTCCCTTTTCGGTTATTTCTGTCCATGATTGGATAGAACAAGAAAACGAACTACAAATACTCGAAGATTTTTTTGACTTCATTAAAAAATAAAATCGTTTTTGTAGGATGGAAACTTTTTGAGGTCAAAACCCCCTCACCGCCAAACTAAACGAAGGAAATGAGTTTTTTATCCGACATCGATCTTTTGACGTCGTCCCTTACGCAATTTATATTTATTTGTTAAGAATTTTTCTTTGGAATCGCAACAGACTGCAAGCAAGTCTAGAGTCGGATGTGTTTTTTCGTTGCACTGGAAATGGAAAATCAATATGTTATTATGAAGCTTTACCGGCCTTGCGACCATCGAGCGTGCGTTAATAGTGTTGTCACCACTGTTGAGTATTATAGAAGAGTAGGTGTTATACCTCAAAGCTCGTGATGTCACTGTAACACATATCGGCAGAAATGAAGCCGAAGATGAAGACATAAGAAATGCAAAGCTCCAAGCGCTTTTTGGCAGTCATATATTGTAACAAAACTTTCTATTGGTCGGTAAACTTTCTATCGTGCAACCACGTGACATACACGGTTATGAATGGAGTTACCGCACGGGACTGTAGAGGGAGGAATGTCCGAACGAAACAACAACGTGCAAGCGGACGATGTGTCAACAAATGATTGTAGATTTATGAGATTGTACATTTGTAGGTTTAATCCATTATATACTTGGGGAAAGTGGAATTGGGGTAGATAACCTGACGCCTTCCGCACTTAGTTTTTATCTATTTTTCTAGGTGACATTGTTCCAAATTTGCTTCGAAAAGTTTAAAATATGATATCCCATGGTCTTGGTATGCAGAATTGTTATTTCGTTTTCTTCGTATAGTATCGCAATATGTCATAGGCATTTTTGACATATTAATATGTTTTTATACGCGACACTTGCTTGCATTTTTTATGGAATAAATTAAAAGAAAACTCATTGTCATGTTTGGCTAGAAAACACCCGGATGCACGACCTTTGGGGGGTAATGCGTAAAACCAAAAACCCTACAACATTGAAGGGTGTACGATATGCCTATTCAATTGACATACAATCGTCAGTGCCACCGTGAGTAACACACCGTGATGACATTATTCATGAATTTGACGTATTAGAAACTTACAAGCATCAATTCATTATTAATATCACTAGTCATTTTAGACTGGTGATCACACACTACACGATCCACGCATTGTACATTTCAACAAACACACTCAGTCAGTCAAACTCCAAATAAACACCAAACTATTTACTTGTTAAACAACGTATTGTATTAATATTGGCTAAAATAAAATAATTTACATTTCATCGAACATGTGACGTTACTTGGTTCGTGTCGAGGCGTCGGTCATCTTATTGTTGAGTTTCTCAGCATTCGGCGTGATCTGAAAGTACAGGAAATAGTAAATTAATATGTATGTAATTCCTGCATAATTATTGTAACCATGGCAACTGGCGTAATTCAGTATGTAGTCCAACGTTACGCACTGGGCAACATCTGCGCATGCCCAGTGTCGTATTCAGATACATCCATATTATATGCGTTTGTATTCAAATTTGTGAGTAGTTGAAAATGCAACTTACGGTATTCACACACGTATCCTTTCTCTGCGTCACAGAACTCGTCATCCCAGTGATAAACTGGCTTGTTTTGTGGTTTTTTCCTGTAAAAATAAATATTAACTATCCGTTATATATTCATGGAAAAATATTTTAGCCATTTTAACGTGAGAAACGACGTGGAAACAAAATGACATTATTATTGTCAAAATTTCATTAGAAGCATTGACATACGCAGTAGCAAGTGGCTATGATATAACTAATTTGGAGCACATTCTCAGTTGTCAAAGACTTCCGAGATCTCGCTGAAAGCAAGAGTGCTACGCGACTTGCCCCCCCCCCCCATTAGTGTTACATTCTCTTCCTAGAAGTAGTCAATATGTTACATATTTTTGGAGTGGTCAATTTCTTACACCATGCCATAACCAAAGTTAAGATACATAACTACACAGATTCGAGGACAAGGGACAAAACGACAATGCATGCATGAATCTTCTAAAATGCTTTTCGCTGACATCTAGAGTGTTATATCTCACTAAACTCAAGCAAGCCAAGATGTATAATTATAATAATTTATCGAAAGGATACTATTGACCTACGCTTATGTCGATCGATACGATCGCCGTGTTGCCGTCATGCAAACTTGGCAGTATTCCCGAGGCAGCCTGCTAATATGTGCCATATACAACAATCAGAGCTCCTCCAACAAAACCTTCCTTATGTTTCCACAGCATAAACTAGTGATTTGATATGTTATCCCAGTGTTAATCTCAACACACTCAATCAAAGTCCCTAGTAGACAATATGATTCTTCTCTATAACAAATTGATATTGAAATAAATACTCATGTTCTTTCTATTTTATAAATCCGAATCATTCTGAATGTAATCCATTTCTGTGTAGTGTACGCACTAAACGCACGTGTCTCGTTAGAAGTAGTAATTAGCTTACAAAGCTATGCCTACCATAGTTGGCAACAGTCTTGGCCTCCTTCTTGTGCTGGGTTGTTGTTGGGCTGTTCGGTTGGTGGTCCCTGGTACCATTGAGTCCACATGCTTGATACCTCAATTCCGTTCACCCATTCGAAAACACCTTCACACTTCAAATCATGACATCCAATCCAGAAGCCGCCACCTAGTGAAAAATAACCATGTGATTCGGTCAAATAATTTGTCAAAACATTCCGAGATTGATGTTCTATATTGGAAGGCATGATCTCTTTGTTTTTTGTGACGTGGTGAACACTTTTGTAACTGTGACATAGATATACAAGCGAGTAAATACAAAAGTAATCCACCTAGTTCTGGTCAAAAGTGTTGCATAAATTGTGACTGGGAAAAGCGAAACAGAAATATGTGAATGTAAATACAATTGCGTATCTAAATTATATAGAAAATAATTATCTATTATCTAAATTATATAGAAAACAATTATCTAATATCTAAATTATATACAATACAAATATCAAATATCAAATAACTAAATTAGAACTGGGATCTGATGTTACGTACCGGGACCTTCCTTCAACTCGGGGGTTGCCATAATGAATTGTCGAACAGCTTTGTTTTTGTTTTTCTGGTCAAATACAGCAAGTCGTCCTCCCGATGCATCACAAGCATCCCTAGCCTCAAACCAAGTGAAGTCTCCCAAGACGATATTCCATCGGTAAGAGTCTAAGTGCACGTCTAATAACGACAAAAGAATACACAGTTAGGGGGACGTAGTGTTATAATGTAATGAAACGTACATGAGTGTACTTCGTTTTGATGTTTATTCAGTAGGTCACAATATGTGTTATACCAATTGGAGATGATTTAGAAGATAACGATGATTGGTAAATTGGAATAATACTTACTGTATGGTGAAGCCTGTTAATGAAAAAAAAATACACACATATATGAGAATGTATAACTGAGTAATGGCGATTATATAATGACATATCTAGTATGCGTAACATACAATACTCTATACACAATATAGAAATGTGTATGCTGGTGTTTATAACTACAGGTGTTATAAATATACATAACATAACATAATATCGATTTGGGAACAACGCTGTGCAAATAAAATCATTGCGTTAAGTAATGAACACCCGTGTCTGAACAAAATACGACACCGCGTCGCCTAGATGGTTACGTTTACCAGTCGAGCACACAGCATTTACCGAACCCATGATGTTTAATTTGAATGATAAACAGTTGAGAATTCGTAAATATACACTTACTTGTACCACAAATGGTAATAAAACCAGTAAACAGTATCGTAACATTGTGAGGTTTGGCGAATCGAAGTAGCTGTTGAAAAAAATGGTTCATATGGCATATATTAGAACATATGCATACAGGTAAGTACAACATGTTAATAGAAAGGTATGTTAATTTACTTTCTACACAGCGGTGTTCTAATCGTGTTTATTTGAGAAAATATTCTTACTTTTGAATGTATCATCCAAAATATAAATTAATAAACAATATGTCAAGAAATAATCATAGATGAAATTTTCAGTTTTGTTGTTAATTTATCAATCATATTTAAAATGATCATCGGTTGGTTGGTTTGATCATTGGAGAAGCGAATTTGTTGAAATAAATAAGAATTTTGAAATTCTCGTCGATGAGAGTGGCACTTATTTGCGTGGAATATTGTTGCTGTATAAGATCGGCAAAAATGCAGATTAATTCAAAGTATCGACAGAGGATTCAGAAGACGCCGTCTATGATCACAGCTATGTACAACACAGTCACCGCTTGACAAACACTGGGATTGCTCGGAGTGGAATCAAACGCAATAAATTGAAAGCATACTTACCTGTGACTAGTGGACGTACAAAACCGGTCTTCTCAAGTGACTACATAGCCCATTGTAACCCAGTTTTTATAGAGACAGACAAACGTCAACCATACTGCTAATCCAAACGTTAAATCTCCTTTGTTTCCGGCAACACCCGAGAATCCAATCGGAACTCTCCAGCTATGTTTGATGTATAAAAAAAAGGTGGTTGCCTACTTACTGCACATTCTCCGTACGGTATATCTCAAAAGATATTTCTATTAATTAAAGTAATCGTATTTAGTCGGCTTGGCGTATGGTGCGATTGATTTAATGGGCTTCATTAACTTAAACTGCACAGTGGCATATGTCTGCAAAGATGAAGTCCTAATGCGGATGATGAACTCTGAAAGCTAAAGAGTGCCGTGCATTCTAAATAGCTATGGTACGTTTTAATACAGCTATCTCTAGCGAGCTCTAACTAGCTTATAGGAAATGAAAATGGCAATTTACATTGTTGAAGTGGGTTAGCTGTGTACACCCATTCATCTCTAATATTTCATCACTATTGAACTGCGCGTAATGTTCGCCGAGTTTGACAACGCGACTTCGAGATATACCTTTAATAGTGATTTTTGATTTACGGATAAATAAAACGAAATTACATTAACGGATATAACTGATAACTTTTCCAATGAAAACCTTAGCATCCCGTTGGCAGGCCAGTCACACTGGTTCTCACTACAAGAGGTTACGATCCCCCCTGCCAAATGCTAAGAAAAAACTGAAACGTATATATACATATTTACATGAAATATTGTCCACCTATGCGGATTTTTAATAGTATAGTAGGGTCCAACACACTAGTATGTCCCAAATATCTCCTGCTTTGACGAAATATAGTAGCAGGCATTATCAATAGATGTACGGGAAATGATAATAGACTCACACAATAAATGTGGTGCGTGTGCATATAATAACATTTCCTAGTTTAATAGCGCAACGTGCAATATAGCAGTTTAACAACAAAAGTTGTTAGGATACAATTTCACAGTGGTCAGATTCGAGTTAATTGACATTTATACACTTTACAAAGATTGTTTTGCCTAGTATCTGTATTCCAAATGACCACTATTTTGGACGCTGTAGAGAGAGTATACAACTGTCATGGGAACGTTGAGTTATCGATTCCTGATTTTGATTTTTTCCAACGTACTTGGCCCAAAGACTAGACAGTATCTACACCGCATTTCGCCCAAATCGTTGTTTGTTTCCGAATACACGTTACAGCTAAGTGGCGGATTATTTGACCAAATCAAATAGTTATTTGACTACAAAGTCAATCAAAAGTTTAATCTGGCGAGTTTCAGGTAGTTAGTCTAAATAATTCTTGACCGAAAACTGAAGTTGGTCTGCTGACGACTTCGGATATTCACGACCGTATTGAACCGTCGTTAGTACATTTTCAGATGCATTTGCAAAAAAAAATCGAGCATGAATATATGATAACCTCTTTATTTCATACTCAATGAATACTGATGAAATTAAATTGTGCTTTCATTTTGTGCTTTAATTCTGTCGAGCCACAACTCGATTAGAACGTTCCTGTACTCCAACATTAAATCATATATCTGCATTTCAAATCATTTAACTATGATTCCATTAGTGTCCGTCTGGGATATATTCCAGTAGTATTTTAGTGTTTCAATAGCTTAATATTTGTAGCAATTTCCCAGGTCATGTGAAACACTTCTTCTTATTGTACCACAATGCGATTTTTGAACTTTAAGTTAAAAACTTGATTAATAATATAAATGTATTTTTTCACAACGTACATTACGCTTGATATGAGAACAGTTTAAATTCTTTCTTTTTTTCAAAACCAAAAAAAAACACAACAGCGACTTACAGCATACGGGTTTTCTATATAAATATCCTGGAGCGAAACAAATGTAATTGTTATATATAATTGTACTACTAAAGGAATGAATAACTTTGTTGTGCGTCGTCGAAAGCATCCGCTTCAACATTCCTGTAACTGGTGACTTTTTTTCAGAAACGCGCGTATCTCTAAATTACCCAAATTAGCCTCGAAGACATATGCCACTTTTCTGATTGAATTAATGCTTGTTTTTTAATAAATCACACCCGACGAGGACTTCACCATACGCCAAATCGGTTTAATTGATTTAAAAGACAAAAATTAAAACGCAGATTTTGAGATGAACCATATGGATGTTTGATTAATATTATATGCTGGAAAACACATTTATTTTTATACATCAAACATACTAGAAGAGTGCCGATTGGATTCTCGGGGGTTGCCGGAAACAAAGGGGATTTATCCTCCGGATTAGCAGTATGGTTGACGTTTGTCCGTCTCTATAAAAACTGCGATACAATATGAATTGTGGTCATTTGAGAAGATCCATCTGATGCTCATCGTCCTCGTGTACTAAATACAGGTAAGGCATTGCAATATTATTGACAATTGACATTGGTAGTATGATCTATCTTCTATCGGTCTTGTATGTAAATGATTGATTTGCGGTTATTCGATTCGACACACATTTATTTTAGAAAAATTATAAACGCCTGTATGTTCAGAAGGCTTATGTAGTAGAACTATGTCGCGACATCATTCATTCAATCGAATCAAATACAATGTGCAGAAATGTTTCGGAAAATACGAAATAGAACTGAAAACAGCTGTCTTTGATTCTGTAATCTACAATGAAATTAAGATTACCTCGAAAGCAGAAACACTACTATCCAGTTAAATACATACATGTGTATTATATTTACACAGTTGTTCGTTTTTAATCGATGTTTGTATCCATATTCTGTTGATGCAGTTGAACAAATTGTGACATAATTATAGAATCGTTTATTGTAAAAGGCGAACCGAACTAGAGTAGTTAAACCTGCAGTTTGGACAAGATCAGTGCGCATGTCTTACACCGTGTTTGTCAATGGCACCATGCAACTTGTTTGTTTCTTTGTTGCGCGGTGAATGTGGCGCATAAATCGAAGTAAACATTTTTATTTGTCAGACTAAACCTGAATTGAGATGAATAACTTACGTTTGTTTACACAGAAATAAATTCAAGATGTTACGACTGGCATTATGTTTTCTGTGTCTGGTTGTAGGGGTGAGTATATATTTCCATTCGAATTCGCCCCCTTTCAAAAATAAAGCAACATGTTGAATTTTGTGCGAACACGTTTTGCTTACAATAATACTGACATTATTTTATTATTTCTTTCCATTTCAACAGACGTCGGCAGGTAATTACAATTTTACATTTCAAACTTAGTTCCAATTAACCCCGTGTACTTCAAGCTTCATTCAGACTCGATATGATCTGTAGTAACCCCCCCCCCCTCAACTGACCTGTTCAGACATCACAAAGGCTTTAGTTTTTGAACGGTTTATGAATAATCTTATCCAACAATATTCGGAAATCGAATTTAGAAGTGTTCTCCGACTAAAATACATGTGATTGCGACACTAAACATTCGTTTGATTTTGCGATTAAAGCGCGGTGGTCGTCGCGCTGCGCATGTGCGACATTTGTGTTCTAAAACATTGATTTTCCCACAATCCAAAGCGCTTTTCAAATGGAAATCACAAGTATGAGGTTTGCCCTGGGCGCGACTTGCACTGAATACCGCCGGTGACTCCTTCGATACCTTTCAATCACCTAAAAATTACCTAATTAAAGCTTGGAAACGTCTCAGTTTGTACTCGTTGAACAGTCTTTGTTTATATGAGACCCAAATATCTCGCGCATGCGTGGCGCGACGACTACCGCTCTTTAAGCTTTCGATGTAGGTGCTCTAATATTTCAGGGTTTGTGGTAATACCAACTCGTTTTCTCATAATGAACACACTAGTCAGTGATCTGCCTGTAATACAAAGTTGGAATTCCACTTTAATCTTAACTAACATATTAAAAATGCAATTTTTTTTCCATTACTATTTATTTTCAAATTTGTTTGAACTAATGGTTTGTCTTTTTTAGCCCTTGCTAAAATAAACTAAAAAATAAATGTGATTAACCCCTGATATGTACAATGGTAAGAAACTTGAAATCAATCTCCACTTAAACTGTTGCATGTTCCGGTCATGTGTGTTTGAATAGCAATCATGTAACATGTGCATAGGTTCAGTTGTAAATAAAACCATTTATATTTTGACAGTATATGAAGTATATTACCAAACGTCCAGATTCGTGATCTACACAGACAAAATGGACTGGCAAAGCGCCAGGGCATATTGCGAGGAAGAAGGAGGACGACTAGCGGTATTTGACTTGAAAGCAGAAGACAAGACTGTCAGGCAATATATCCTCGCAGATCCCGACTTGAAGAGCGCACCTGGTAAGTATCAACCGCTTTTTAGTATATTTTAAGTCAGCATTCGTTCATAATACAATTGTTGACATCGCTTACAACAAATTTGAATGTGGATGTTGGCAGGTGGTGGGTATTGGATTGGTTGCCAGGATCTCCACTGTGAAGGTGTATTTTCATGGGTCAATGGAAAAATGCTATCCGAAACATGGACACATTGGTATGCTGGTCCACCAACCGCCCAACCTAACAATAACCCAGATCAACCAGGTGGCCAGGACTGTTGTCAGATGTGGTAAGTACAGTCGTTTTAATACGGCCAGCAATCAAAACTGTTAGGGGGGAATGTAATTCAACTTTCCCCTTTTTTCGAAATTTATCCGTACTTCTAGATTTTTCTAACAGTGAAGTCACAGATACGTTTAAACATTTTACTCGAGTATGAATTCTTGACAATGCATAGCTATGTTGATTGGACATAATGACATATTTCGTATCAGAAAATGAATTCCAGTCAAACAATTACACTATTAGCTATAATGCTGGGCCTAGTACACACCTTAAACTAATTATAGCTGGTGATCGGTTCATACATGCGTGAATGACAGCAATATTTATAAGAATATACCTGACTTATCATTTGTAAAGAAACTCACACTTTTAGGCAAGCTTTCATTTTAGCTGAAATTTAGTAACGCCGTGTGACCCGATTTTTTGTTTTATTCCGCGATGCCTGTGATATTAGTAGTGGGCGGATACAATATGTTTATAATATGTAATGACCAACCAGCTGTAAGACTAATCTAATTTGCATTCCGCAGGAAAAAGCCACAAAACAGCCCTGTGTTCCACTGGGATGATGATTTCTGCGACACTGAGAAAGGATTTGTTTGTGAATACCGTAAGTATACCACATATATTGCCCAATGTATTGCATCAAAATTGGTAGCTATAGCTTTATTAGTGATGTTATTTATTTGTTTGCAGACCTGCATCGTATCGAAAGTTTTATTCCCATTCTATATTGTCGGCATATTCAATTCAATTAACCTAATTTAAACCTATTTTGATTTGCTTGAACAGGACATGAGATCTGCTGAACATAGACCGGACATAACGCGGGATCTCGCTGATCTCGCGAGAAACACCATATAGAACATTTCATCGACATGTGAACGTTACAATTTTATTCTAGATACAATGCAAATTTCGTAATAAATAGTTTAACATCTATTTTACGATGGTTCAATTTGTCTGAATTTTATTATCCCTACCATAAAACAAAGCAATGATGAATATTTTTGAAGCAACACAAAGATTCTGGCTGAAAGATCGCACATACTCAGATACACTGGAGTAACTCAATATTACGTCCAAGAACACCTACATTCACCAAGTTGTCAAAAATAGTTAGAGGGTGGCCCTCATCTGAGAATAGAGACAACAATGAGTAAACACTGAATGAAAAAATATGTTGTTTTTAAGAAATGAACTGCACTAATGTCATCGCGAAGGGAAACTAGCACGTAGCACCATTCACGGTGTTGACACGTGGAAACAGGTTCTCATAGTATTTTCCAGGTCCGCGGGAACGACCGTGTCTAAACAGTTGTTAACACAAACACAGTAAACAGCACTGCTAACTGACGGGTAATTGAAATTATATTATTACTCCCAAGGGTGACACATATAATGCCAATAGCGTGGTAAATGGTATAGTGCCATTTACTTCGTGTCAGTGTTTATTTTCAACATGTTATAATAAAAACCCGACTCCCCTATAATGTTTAATATTCGTATTTCAATTTCCCCGACTGTGATTAGCGCCCTCATAGTATGTATTATCCGTATTTCAATTCTCTCGACTATGATTAGCGCCCTCATAATGTACAGTATTTATACTTTGAATTCCCCAGTCTCGATCGCAAAACTAGTTTCATGGAGTCTAATAAACTCAATGTTTATATCACGATTGGTTTAACTCACAGTTGAGATTTGGTGGCAAATGAATTCCAAGTTCCGATCTTGTTCACTGCGCCACATCATTTAATCAAGCGGGATTCATCTTTCATATTCATGTTATGATCGTGTAAATGTCACCAGCCTAAGCCAGTCATACCTTATACCGCCGGGATGCGCTTTCAAAATAACAGACATGCAACCAATAACCACACAGGTTCACACTTGTATACACTAGTTACATTTTGCTTGATCGTGAACGTGCAATGTACACATGTTTGTTTGTTGTTTTGGGTATATTGCGCCTCAGCTTGTCAGTTGCAGTATTATCTGAAATTCACGTATACAGTAAATAAAAGACCGGTTTACAAAAGTTCAAAGTTCAGTTCAAATCGAGATACGCATGCGTTGCCCTTTGAGTTGTCTTCTTTTTAACTGTGAATTACAGAAGACGCGCGTCTCTAAAACCACTGTTACTCATACACATATATCCCAAATGCAACGCGGAAATTATGTCATTAAGGTGCGCCCTAACCAACCATTCGTATCTAATCACTTATATGGTTCAAGTAAACTTGTGAAACCCCGTCTTGTCTTGTGATGGAAGGTGGTTTGATGACAGATCTCCCGTATGAACCAGTATTAATATTACCGTCTGAATGCAATAACCGTATAGCCTAACGACGGCAAACATTCAGGGTTATAAACCCCCCCCCCCAAATAGGAAAATTATGTATCTGTTTGAGAAAGAACAACAGCTCTGATAAAACAAAGCAAAGCAAAATCCTGAGTTTGAGGTGGAAATAAATGCATTTCAACCTGTTATGCTAGCGTTATGAATATATTATATATCCCGTATAGCACATTCAGTAAGAACTATACTGTTTCATTTTGTGTATGACTAACCTCATACCATTATTATGTTGAGTGCATGAATTTGTTCATGATATGATTATATGAAATATACATCGTGAATCACTAAATCTTAAATAAATTTACATAAATTACATAACATTCGGTGCTTTCCGCCTTGAGGAAAATAGATACCTTAGCTTTAAAACATAATTTTGCCGTTATTGCATTTACGGAATGTTTCAAATCACAAACATCAATTAAAATAACATTAATGATCCTAAAAATGATATAAAAAACAAAATGCGACATTTTAAACAATTAAAATGACATCACATTTAAGTATACATTTTAATATTCATAAGTATAGCTTTAACCTACTAGACAGTATTCGGGCAATGTACGACCGATTTATTCTTGTGAGCAACTACGTACACGATATTACTCACCATAAAACTCACAGCCATTTCGATATTTTTCAGATTTAGAGATGTACCCAAGATGGAATACATTATATGTGTTTTGTCTCAATCTCAAAATAAACATATTTTGTCCGAGCAGTGTTCGAGGAAAGTTTACGTACGAGTTTACGTACATGTGCCACTCATTAGTGAACGCATGTCCAGCGGCGACGTATATATCGCGCCCTCTATCGGTACATACCAATGTATTGTGCCAGAATGTTGTGTTTTCGGCGCTGTTGACATGTATTCCTCATTCGATGGAAAGCTTATCACCCGTTATATCAGAATCGTCAACAACAGAGTATACAGATAAGATGTTATCATTTAAACCCTTCCAAAGATAAACATTATGCAAATATCCACGAAACTGCAGTTGTAGTCTTTTCTTCTAGCGTTTTAAAACACTAATTTAAGCAACGTTATTTTGCAATTTCGATTTTTTGTAAACCTGGGGTGATGTATCAAGGTCTGAAGTAACCGTTTTATCAATTTTTGAAAAATCAAGAAAAAAGTGAAAATTTCCCTTCTCGCTACCTTAACATAAACATAAATAGACTGAACACATAGCACGACGCGATGGGATGACGTCAGCAAGGTATTCTACCTTACGACATTTATTTCAATTAATGCACATTGCACCATTCCAAAAAGTGATTGATAAATTTAAGTCATACATAATACATATTTGTATGTGGGTGTTTAATATTATCATTATTTTTCTATACAGCGGTATTATATTAGATTATCATACAACTTTGTTGAATCCACGGCGTCATTATTTGCAATCGTTAACTGAAAATAAAAAAAAAAATATTTGTGTTAAGTGACATGAGAACGAAGGAGTTGTGAAATATCCTTCGTCCCTCAATAATCCAATAGTGCGGTCTCAGATATAACGCATCCATTTTAGATTACATGTGGCTCTAATGCCTCTTTACAATAGTTACTCGGTGTATCATACACCCCCCCCCCCAACCCGCATCAATGCGTCGACTGAAATATCATAATTATTTAGGTCAGAGTAAGAGTGGGCGTGATAAAGGGCGACTATTAGAGGAACTAAAAACGAGTACCACGCTTCGTTCTCAACGAGTTCTCAGTGGCCACTTAGGTTAAAGCGGGGGAGTCGTGACCTGTGCATGTGCCAGATGGCCATAGCGTGTCATTGTTTACAAAGAAGCGTCTACCCTTTGCGTTTTTAGTGTGTGTTGTTATCGTCGTTTAGGAATCAATTCCCGCGCGCGCGCAGGTGACGACCCTCCCGCTTTAATGTATGCGAGTTAAATACGAACCAATTTCTCCCGAAAAGCATTCCTCGTGCAACATATATGCCAAGAGTTTCCAAAATATACAAAGACGTCAAAATGTACTTCCCACCCTTCTGTGTGGTTTCTGGTTACAACGTGACCAGGCACACGACAGAACTTCAATGTATTGGTGGGTGGCAATGAGTGTTACGAGAGATCAATACAGATCACAAAGATGCAAGGGTCACTTTTATATTAACAGTTATTATGCTCAAATATACGCAATGTACGCATAAGGTAAAATCAACAAACAAACAAACAAACAGAATGGTAGCTATGCTGGCTGCAAACGTAATGTAAGAAATATAGATCAAAATAGTGGTACATTAAATTATAAAAAAAATCTTTTTGTACCCCACCAAGAATCCTAACTCTAACCCTCATCTAAAGCTCCCATTTCAATTGTATATGCCTTCTCTAGATAACTGAATATTATGTACATACAGTTAAATTGGGGAGCACTGGAGGGTAGGGGTAGGGTTAGTGTTAGGGTTAGGGGTGAGGTTACAAAAGAAACTTATTCCAAGCATCCTCTCAAAATAATACAATTCGTTACAATTAAGCCTTCACCCCGAACTTGGGTATTTGTTGGTGTCTGAGTGTTTACTTCAGGTTTTCAGACTGGCGGCGACGCCGAGCGCAAAAGACACACCTTCCTCGGGGCTTGGTTTCGTACAACGTGAGACATAAATGTTACAAATGTTACATACATGTTACATAACGCAACGGTTTATATAAACATCAGCCCCTGAACCGTAACCCTGTACTCCTGCGTTATTCCCATCTACCCGTATATCAACGGCTTCCATACATAGTTGGCGTTGTATGTGGGTAGGTAGGAAGACAGTGTATTACTCTTGCTTTGTTACGTAAGGTAATGTGTTCGTACGTTGATTGCTCTTGTATTACCCCATGCAACTTTGGTTTAATTATTCAGAATAACAGGCCACAGTGAACTGGTATCTTACCGTATTCACAGATGAACCATTTTCTACCCCAGCAATAATCGTCATCCCAGCTAAATCTTGGCCTCGTTCGAGGCATTTTCCTGAAATTGAACATGATAACGATATTTTGTGTGCATTTATTCCAAAAATAAACTGCCAAATCAAAATACAATGTACATTCAGCCATAATTGGTCAAGTATAAGATTGGCAGCATTTTTGTTTTGCCCTGTGTGCATGTTAGATTGCTTCTTCATTTGTTATTATTAAAGTTCACACGTTTATTGTGTGCATTGACAATAGACGCTTACACACATTCAATATGTCTACTGCGGAATTAGTAATTTTCTCCATTGCATACCTTATTGTGGATTCATTTCTAAATGTAATGTCAATTGGTGAGGTTGAGTTTATTATTCATTACTTATGAATACTCATTTTTACGTTGTCACTAAGCGTACATATCTTTGCTTGTATATGTTTTGTATAAAACGCCTTCTGCGATTTGTTAGTTGTCTTACCGGAACTGCTAATTTATTTATAGCAATATTATATTCATGTTGGGCTATAATACAATATTTGGTAAGTTTTAGACAAGCCGTATGGTATACGACAGTCAGAGACTAAAACTTGGATACAACTGATTCACCATGTTTCGAGAGAGTACGAAAAAATACCACATTGCTGTAAAAGAGTGTCATTTTCACTTAT